TGTGACCGGATGCTAAAGAGAACTTCGTATGGCCCGAAAGGGCCAAGATGAAGTTCAACTAAGGCTACAATAGTCAAGAAGGTTGATCATTAAATTCATATCCAAAGCTCTATTAAAGAAAGATATATCTCCCCAAAGGGAGAAAATATTGTTCGATGCTAATTCTTCTGATATGATGTTAACGATCGCTAATTAATTTTCCCAAAGAAATCCAATTAAATTTTGAAAATCAGGTGTGTGTAGTTCTAAATCTCCTGCGAGCGCAAGCCCTCATAGTTAATTACATCGTAGGGAGACAGAGTCTCATAAGAAAACTCTCGATTAAAATAATGGCAAAATTTTGTTAAAGATTTTATCAGAGTGATATCAAAAGGAGGTGAATTTTAAAATCACAAAAGGGAATGGATCGAGGTTGAGCAGTCATTAACTGAATCAAGGGAAGAAGAGTAGGGGACACTTTGAGATTCTAGAACCATTCAGAAGCGTCTCAACTTAATCTAAGTATTGGGCTTTATCTTTTTAATTGAAAGAGGATTTAATTAAAGTTGAACATTTTATTAGAAATTTGAGATTATATTCTCAGAGGCTGGGGTCTTATAATCAGATATCTACCCCAGATCCTAAATCTAAATATGGACACTAGACCACAGTCGTCCGAACCTAACTAATATAGTGCAGAACCTGGGCTTTCTCCGGCTTGGATTGGAGAGCCAACAAATGTTAAGAGAGTTGCTATTTGTATGTTTTACATTCTTGCAACTTGTATAGTTTTGATGATTCCAAATATTATTATTTTAAATTTTGTTATCTCCAAACATTTTTTTGGAAGATTTGTTTTTGCACTTGTGTGGACTAACATTTCAGGAAAATCGAACTCCAGACTAATGAAGACTTCAATTCAAATTCAGCATGAGATATTTTGTAAATTGAAGCTTGTACTTATCTTTATATTGAGTTTGAGAGGGAGTGATTATAATTATGTAAATAAGCACACACACACACACACTTGGGAAAAAAAATTTATACTGATCGTACAGGACGAACTTAGTTCGTATGGGACCTGGATCACAGTCGTCCGCACCTGTGCAAGCATAATTATAATTGATTTTCTTTTTTTATTTAGCCCCTTTTTTAATTATCCTGCATGAGCATGGCCACCTATAGAAAAATCAATTAACATCCAGATCGTTCATATCCTAGGGGTAATCCAGTCGCCAAACACATCAATTATCCATAAAGTGCAGTAAAAAGTAAGCAGACACAGCAAGGCAATTTCATCCACAACATGCAGTAAAATTACAAAAAATCTGGCGTATAGCAAAATAGTAAACACCGGCCTAAACTAGATCTAAAGTTTGCTATCCTAGCAAATCATTTAAAGTGTGTGTAGAAGGTCGTGTGGCGGGTAGGTCTTAAGCTGGGTAGTTAGTTAAAGTTATCTAAAATTTTGAATTTGTTAAGACTTAAGGGGAGGTTTATGTTAGAGTTTAAATATTAATATATTAAGAATTTATTTAAATATATTTTAAGGGTTAAATAATTACTATATTTATTTCACACCGAGACCGTGAAGTTTATTTCACCTTCATTGGGGCTAAGCTAATAGCCTCGTAAGCCTAGGTTACCTAGTAGTAATCAGGGTTAATTAAATTAATTTAGTTAGTTGAAATTAAAGGATAGATTAATATAAAAAAGAATTGGTTAAGCATTTTGTTAATTAAACTAGAAAATTCTAAAATTTTAAAGAATTAATGGATTTTAGAAATTATCTAAATGTGTTAATTAATGGGTTAAAAGTTGACTTTTAAAATTAAAGTGAATTCCAAAAGTTTCAGATTTTTAATAAATATTAGACCTTATTATGAGTTGTTAGACTATTAACACGCTTAATTTGGAGTTTTCTATGAAATGTTATATTTTTTAGAAGTTTTAACCCGATTTTAACCCAATGTTGACTAAATTGTTTACTTTTTGACTTTGACCGGATTTTGGGAGTTTGAAATTTTTAGAAAATACTATATTTTAATTAGATTAATTAGCTTTTGAGTTTGGTTATTTGAAATTTTTTACAATTAGTTATGAATTTTGAAATTTTTGGTATTTATTGGAATTATTTAAGTGTTCTAATTAAGGGCCCTTTTAATAATTTGAACCCAAATAAGTCCTAAACTTCTTGAAATCAAATTTAAAGATCAGAAATGATCTAAGGAGAGATCAACAATTGTTTAAGGAACTTTTGGAATTTATAATTATTTTTAATTAATTAAAATTGATTAAACATTGATTTTCACTTAAAATCAAATTAAGGTTGAATTTGATGTCAAATTAAGGAGGTTCAAATTTTCTTTGATTAAGGACTGGGTTATAGTCATTTAGAGGTATTTTATGCATTTTTTGAAATTAATCTTGATTTATAGTGAATTTGTG